AGATGCTTTCTGTGTACTTGATTTGTCTAGCTTTTGCTGTTATATTGTAGAGATTAATTTGTGTAGGTAACTGATAATTCTTGAGATTTTTTAAAATTTAAAATCTGCAAACAGAGATAAAAAAACCTTTAATCTTTGTTTTCAATTCTTGAATTTGTTTTGAAAGCAGTTACAACAACTAATATAAAGATGTGTGAATGAAATGCATTCAAAATTATGATTTTATTTTATTTTTTTTTATTTTCTCTTCTACTCTTCACTAACATGGAGGCAGGGGCTATCCTTAGGTGTTGATGAATTACATCTCCCCACATTTCCTCAGCACTGGTTGTGTTGCTGGGCTGTCTCAGTTAAGCAACTTCTGGACTCTAGAAGACCATGGCTTCTAATTCCTATATTAGGGTGTTCCATAATGGTCTTAAATGGATTCTGGTGTTTTTTCCTTTTATTTTGTAAATATAGCTTGTATATATTTACACACAGTAAAATTGTTACTAGGTTAAACCCATTGCCTTATACCAGGTACTCCTCACTTAATGACCACAATTGGGACCGGCAACTCCATTGCTAAGCGATGCGATCATTAAGCGAGACATCACATGACCACAACTTGTGATTTTATTGCCAGCTTCTTCATTGACTTTGCTTGTTGGAAGCTGGCTGTGAAGCATGCAAATGCAATCATGTTATCATGGGATGCTGCAAAGGTCATAAACGCCTGTTCAGGTTTGAAGCACCCAAACCTTGATCACATGACCATGGGGATACTGCAATGGTCATAAGTGCGAGGACCAGTCATAAAGTTACTTTTCAGCACTGTCAAACTTTGAATGGTTACTAAACAGGGCAGTTATTAAGTGAGGACTAGCTGAATTGAATTGAATCTTTTGAATGGTTACTTTTGTGACATATTAACACATTCTTCTCTTTATATGCAGGTGCAGGTGGGGCAAGCAGATATCCCATGTCCGATTACAGAATGCAGTGAACATCTGGATGAAACCACCATCCTCTTCAACTTGCCACATGATGACATCATCAAATATAAATACTTCCTGGAACTTGGCCGTATTGGCTCAAGCACCAAGCCATGCCCTCAATGCAAGCACTTTACAACCTTCAAGAAGAGAGGTCATATTCCGACCCCTACCAAAACGGAGAACAAGTACAAAGTGAGCATGCTCACACGAGCTATGGATTAAATGGCAGAGCTGTGAGCAGCAAAATTAGGCCAGGATATGGTGGGCATTTAAATGGGCTTTCTTCTCTTACTGGAATCTCATGTAAGCTGTGTTTTTAGATTACAAATATATAGCTTCATACCCAGTATTAGACAGCCATTAATCTATCTGGACTAACTAGTCAGTTACTATGTTAATTCTTAAGTTTCGTATGTCTTTTTGTCTACATGTGGAAATAGCCATATGGTCTGCAATATTTTATGAAGTTGGGCAGTTCTTACATTCTTAAGTATTTGGTGGTCTCTACAATGTTTACTTTAAGTATTGTATGAGTACTTAGTTGAATTTTACGGAGTTCTCAGGCTTTACCTTTGTGATTTGATAACTGCACTGGAATTGACTTCATCTTAAGGTACATGATGGGCATTACTCTTGGGCATTCTGATTTTTTCATGCCATTTTTTCATGCCACTTCTGTCTGGAGTTCCATGGTAGTTAGTAGATATTACCTACAAGAATACAGGAATATAAGCTTAGTATAATGGGACAATAATGGATATGTGTTGTTAATATGTGCAGACTATTTTTCTTAAAAATATACTCTAAAAATATGCATGAGGAGATACTGATATGTAGAATCCCAGATTAAAAAAATGGTATATCCAGTAGAAAGAATTCTCAGTAATATAAGCATAGAGTTCTGCCTTAGATTCTCATTTTTAATGCTTATGTATGATACTGGAGTAATTTAAAAGACTATATAACAGTAAAAATAAGATTTGGAATCAGTGGCTCAGTGAACTAAAGTATCAGGACAACAAATTAAGGATTGGAATAGAAATGCATAACATATTTTCTTCTTGTAATATTTAATGTGGCACTGATATATTATTAACTCATAGTCCAAACTCATGGGTATGTTCATTGATTTTGGAATTTGCAGTTGTAGGTAATTCATTGCCAGCAGGATGCAGTAAATACAAACAGATGTTTAAAGGTTTGTTAAAATGCTGAGTATGATACGTACGTCTGGGTGTTTTTCTAGCTTGTTTTTCAACATGGAGCTTTATAGAACAAAGGCCTAGAGAGGCCCCACCAAGGAAAAATTAAGGGATCAAGGTTTCTGATATATAATGCTGCTATTTTGTTGGTTGACCAAAATTGAGTTTAACATGTCAGTTTAAGTAAATATTAAGTTTCCCCATACTTTTCCCACTAACTTGTAGGTATGGGTAAACAGTCTTAGATAAGAATAATGTTCCATAAATCATATGGAAATAATTTATATTTAGTCAGACTGTGCATCAGATTGGGTTCCAAAAATGTGTTTTGGGGGGGTGTACAAATGTAGCCCCGGTCTGTAACTCTTTAAAACAACTGTGCCCATTCACAGAAATGCATGGCAGCTATAGAAGACAGCCACATGATCCTGGGAAAAGATGCCTCTGCTTTAAAGAGTTTCAGACAATGCTATGTTCTCATATTCACTAAAGAGCCTTTTGGAACTGAATCTGAAACACTGCACAGGCCTAATATTTAGATTTTATTATAACATTTCATCACACTGATAATACAGAATTAGCAAGTAATTAGATACAAAAGGCAGAGAGTTCTTGGAAAAGCAGTCTTTGAAAATATTTTTATATTACAGGGCACTTTATGAGTAGATTTCTTCCTCTCTTTTTTTTTGCATTCTTAATTTTTGTTTTAGGGCTGCTGTGCTTTATATTCTACATTCTCTTTTGAATTGTGTTTTTCTTAAATCATATTGAAGCTACTAAAAAAGCAGATTCAAAGTTAAGAGTTGGAACTTTGGAATGTGTTGTGGACTTGTATCCTTGCTCCTCCCTCACCCTCTTCATTTCTTAAAATAGTCTTCTCTAAGCTGCTGCTGTCTAGCCAATATGGCCAGCACATTGGGGAGTACTGCTTTAAAGGCTTGCTTTCTTAACTTCCTAATAGTTGCTATGCCTTGCAAATCTGTAATTTGTTACTGTGGACATTACAACAAACTTCAATTTAGGAAAATGTACAAAATGCCTGTGAGCTCTGAACCACAATTCAGCTCTTCAGCTCATGATACCTGAACGGTATTGTTGGAATTATCCTTTGGAAAACCATTATGATACTTTAAGAAAATCAAAATTAAATTTGCGTGCCAGTTGTTCATGAAAGACTTGCAGTGAGAAAATCCAGGAGCGTGACATTAGGTGGATGTATTTTGTTTTCCTAAAATAAGGCTTGAGATTCACAGGTAGTTGGGGTATACACTTGAACTACTACTTGTAGATTTCTGTGCGTTGTTTTTTTTCTTAAAAACATTTTTTTCTGATTATTTATTTATTGATTTGATTTATATCCTGCTCATGTCAGCATACATAGCATTGTCTCCTCCCATTTCTACACATAACATCAACCCTGTCAGATATATTAGGTTGAAAGTCAGTGTGAAACACAGTCGGAATAGAAAGTCTTCACACGTAAAACCTTGGAGATAGGCAATCTGGTGCCATCTGGATGTTGTATACTGCAAGACCTACTGTCCTAACTACTGACCATGTTGGCTGAGCTGATGAAAATTGAAGTCCAAGCCATCTGGAGGGAACCAGGCTAATTCCTAGACTTTTGTATCCTATTAGATAAACTGTACAAAGCATTGCATGGGTACTTGGTAAAACAGTCCTCTTCAAATCATCAAGGTATTTGCAGCCTTTTCAAGGGTCACCTGCTTGATTCAATGGTCTTCCCAGGTTGTATATTTGCATAGACAACCTTTCCATAGGGAACGCTGGCAAAGTTGCTTGGGCTGCAGATACCTGCTGAAACAACCTGGGATGGGCCTTAAGATAGTCCTGTGGAGTCTTCCAGAGGATGTAGATGCTGAGCACTTTGAGGAGAGGCCTTTCACTTGCACCAATGCTTGGCAAAGTGCCCCTGTTAAGGCTCCAGGCTAGAATCCAAGAGATGGTGAGTTCTAGCCCCACCTTAGGCATGAAAGCCAGCTGGGTGACTTTGGGCCAGTCGCTCTCTCTCAGCCCAGCCTACCTCACAGGTTGGTTGTTGTGGGGAGAATAGGAGGAGGACGGAGTATTAGGTATGTTCTCCGCTTTGTGTTATTTATAAAAATAATAAAGGCGAGATAAAAAAAAAATGCTTTGCACAGCTTTAATAATCCATATTTTTAGACAGATATATATGATCTGCTTTTCTTCTGCAGGCAGATTTTGCAGGATGGATTCAGTTTTGCTGACATCAAAAATAAAAGCCGTTGGCTATCATTCTTTGAATGCTAAGCTTCACTACTCTTTGCATATAGTGAAGATACTGATGCAGATTACCTTCAGTGGCTGATTTTGTAAAAGCAGTAGATTATACCAGCTGTTTCTTTCAGACTTAAACACCCAGCAGGAGAATACTTTGCAGCTTATGGTACATGTTAAGCTTGCAATGTAAATCTGTTAGTGTTCTGTCCTTTACCTTCAGTATTTTACTGATTCTAAATTTTGCACTTTTTCTGTGCAAATGTACATAGCCAGTTCATTAAAAAAATGCTTAGCCAGTTTAGTGATATTAAAGAACTATCAGGCATAGCCCTATAAGCAGCTTTTGTCTGGTTAGGGTTAAGAATATAACCACTAATTTGATATTAAAATTTATCTCATATTGTTCAAGTGACCAGATGTCTCTGTTGTAAAAGTAGGTTTTGGTTCAACATTAAAAGCACAATTTTCTCAGCTAGGCCATATCTATATATGATTATTAATATTTCAAAGGTCAGCTGCTTTTTTAAGTTACTGCATGACAAGCAGAGAGTACAACTCAATAGCTGCCACCAAGGATAGAATATTGCAAACTTGGAAGGGTAGAAGACCAGCTTGGAAGGATAATTACAGATAATTACCTAGAGTGGGTTACATAATTTCTAAGAAGAGGACTAATCAAAGCATTTCTGGTCTTGATCGCTGCAAAAAATGCAGCGGCTTGATTCAAACAATATTTCTGATTTTTAAAACTATAACATATTCTGTTGAAAATATGATATGTGAATAGTGTCTCTGCACAAATATGTTACCAGAAAGAACTTTCATTGATTCATTGATTCATTCATTTGATTTATTGTGTACCTTTTCTCTAGAAATTCATGTTAACATAGAAAGCACTCCCTCAGTTTTTTTTCTTTCAAATCTGTGAGGTAGGTTGGGTTAAGAGATAGCAACTGGCCCAGTGAGCTTTGATGGCTGGGATGATCTTGCACATGGAACTCCCCAGTACTATTACAACAGTTTAAACACACCATTTCACTGGGGCTCAATCATTTATGGTAAGAGAAAATAGGGATTTGTCTATGCCTCCTTGAAAGGCATAGACAAAGGAAAGGCAAGATATAAATCAGAAGAATAAATAGCTAGCAATCCTGACATAGTCAGTGGCTATGGAAAGTACCTAGAACTAAAAATCTATAGTTAAGTTCATTTGTTGTGGGTTATACAGTTTGCCTAAAAGACCCTGATGCTGGGAAAGATTGAAGGCAAAAGGAGAAGGGGATGGCAGAGGATGAGATGGTTAGATAGCATCACTGAAG